CCAGCCCACTTTAAATATAAAAACGTACATGTTCAAAAGGGTGAAAAAAGACATTCCATGCTAACACTCATTGAAAGGAATTTGGAGTGGCTACCTTAATAGCAAAGAAGGGATAAAGATGTTTCACGATGATGATGGTGATGATGATGATGATGCGGTTGTTCTTCAAGATAACAAATTCCCAAGTGTGTACACACCTAATATCCAAATATTTAAATCTATGATGCAAAACCAGTAGGACAATGGAAAATTAGACAAACCCACAATTATAGTTAGACATTTAAGTCCTGTTTTCAATAATTAATAGACACACAAAGATGAGGAAGACAGTTTTCAAGATGGCATCACCAACTTAACCTCCACCACATTTACAGAACACTCTCCAGCCTCAGAACACACTCTTTTCAAGGGCACATGAAATAACCACCGTTTTGTGGAGCATTAAACAAAGCACAGTAAATTAAAAAGGAATAAAATTGGCCTGGCCAGTGTGGCTCAGTGGATTGAGCGTCGTCCCATAGACTGAGAGGTCCTGGTTCGATTCCCCGTCGAGGCACATGCCTGGGTTGTGGGCTCAATCCCCAGTAGGGGGCGTGTAGGAGGCAGCCAATTTATGTTTCTCTCTCACATGGATATATTTTTTTTTTTAATCCTCACCTGAGGAAATTTTTCCATTTTTTGTTCAGATAGAGTGGGAGGGAGAGAGAGGAAGAGAAGGAGAGAGAAACATCGACATGAAAGGGACACATCGAGTGGCTGCCTCCCACACGACCCAACCAGGGCTGGAGACAAACTGCAACCGAGGTACGTGCCCTTAGCAGGAACCGAACCCAGGTCTCTCTGGACCGCAGGCCGACGCTCTAACCGCTGAGCAAAACCAGCCAGGGCTCACATGGATATTTCTATCTCTCCCTAAAAAATCAATAAAACATATATTAAAAAAAAATAAAAAGGAATGATATTAATGTATATCCTGAGACCACAATGGAATTAAAACCAGAAACTAAAGAAATCTGAAGGAAAAAAAATCAAATGTCTGGGAAATTAAACCACACATCCAAATAACCCATAGATCAAAGAAATCACAAAGGAATTAGAAAGAAAAATACATGTCAACACATACAGGGTTCAAGTAAAGGGTGCTGCAGGGGAAGGCTACAGCGCTTGTTCTGTGCATATTTGAAAGCTCTTCTAAGATGGCTCAGTCCAGGTAGTCAGTCCCTGGCTGTTGGCAGACCTCCGTTCCTTGTCACGCTGACCTCTTCACAGGCTGCTTGAGTGTTCTCATGACCTTACATATAGCTGGCATCCCCCAAAGTGTGCTGTCATCCACGTTGTTTTTAAGGTGACCTTGCCAAGAACGAGATCAAGTTTAAGCATAGAGGGCAGGTGAACAGCTTCACTGATCCTCATGCTCCCAAGTCGGCGCCTTTGCAAAATTCACATCACCTCAAATGCTGAGCATGAGAATGCACTTCTACGTTCTGTGTGGGGTTAGAATTACCAAGGATTGGCAGCATCGTCCAAGCTAAACAACTATGAGCCAGCAACTCCACTCCTAAGTACACATTGGACAGAAATGTTTATATATGTTCCACAAGACAAGGAGCAGAATGTTCATTGTAGCCAGTTTGGAAACAATTCCAGTGACCATTGACAGGAGAATGGATACACTGTGGTATTTCCATATATGGGAATGCTATGTAGCAATGAGAATGAATGAGTTACAACCAGTACAACAATGTAAATACATCTCACCCAAAAAAGTTGGGCCAAAGCAAACTAATCTGTTAAACCTGCCTGGCCTTCAATGGAAGGGGGAAAGGGAGTATAAGCCTGGAAGGAACTTGGGGGACCTCTCAGCTGATGGTAAATGTTCTGTTTCTTGTAGAGACTGTCACATGTGTGTGTCCAGTCAGTGAAATTTCAATTTGGACATTCCAGGTTGTATACTGCACTTGAATCAAAATGAAAAAAAAACTAGAACCCTTAGAATTAAGAAATATGATAACCAGATTTTTAAAAATCAATAAATGAGTTGGGCCCTGGCACAGCAGCTCAGCTGGTTAGTAGCTCAGCAGTGTTGACCAATACACCAAGGTTGTGGATCGATCCCAGGTCAGGGCACATACAAGAATCAACCGATGAATGCCTAAATAGATAGAACTGACGTTTCTCTCTCCCTTCCTCTCTCTAAAAGTCAATCAATAAATAAAAACTTTAATTGCTTTAAATGTTTAAAAATAAATAAATAAATGAGTTGGAATAAAGCCCAAGGAATCTCCCCAAAATAAAACTTACAGAAACTAAAAAAGGACGGAGAAAAATATAATTAGGGGTGTTCAAGAAAAGCAAGTCCTTGGCTTGGTCAATGGGTGAAACTGACGAAGCAAGAAACTGCTTTGGGAACAGGAGATGGTTATGGACTTGGTTTTCTCAAAACGCAGTCACAGAAGGAATGGGGACACTGTTGTTCTAGGTGAAGAGTTAAGAGATTAAAACCCGTTAAATACATGTGGGTCATCATGGGTCTAGGTTTAGCAACCCAAAAAGAAATTTCTGGGACAACTGGGTACATGTAAGGTTGGACTAGTTTATCAGTCAGGGTTCCTCCAAGAATATGGCTCATGTCACCTGAAATTTGTCAGGGCCTTTATCGGAAGGACTACCGGGCAGGGACAGGGTTTCGGCAACGTGTCCTGGACAGAAGGGGAACAAGCGTACCTGCGTGGGCAAATGGAGACTGACTCCCACAACTGTGGAAAAGGAATTTGGCACAGGGGGGAGGCGAAGTAGATCATTGTTGCAATCAACTGGTCAATAACATTTGGTCTCTTTCAAATCACAATGTCCCTGGTAAGTAACTTAAAAGCAAGCACTAGAAAGGTAGATGACTGTGGTCCCTCCCAATTACTCTGCTCCGATTTCCCGACCCCGCTCAGGGCGCGCCACCTTGCACTGTCAGATATGTGTGAGCAAGAGAACCTGCCTTAGAAACTCCTGCCCACCCACCCCACTCCACCTGCGCGCTGCACCCCGACCCAGGGCTCGCGCCTCCACTGCGCCTGGGCCAGGACGACCAGGACCGAGACCTGTTTCAGACACATGCTCTACCTACCTGCACAGTGAACACCATGCATGTTTGCTGAAAAAGCTCAACGTGAACACAGGAACAGAGTTGGGTTTTTTCCCAAGTAAATGAATCAGTTCAGTTTTAAAACTACACAAATTTAAAAGGGATTATAAATAGGGGTCAACAAACTTTTCTGTAAAGGGCTAGATAATAAATAGCTTAGACTCTGCAGGCCATTGGGTCTTCCTGCTGCTACTCCACTCTGCTGTTGTAGCACAGAGCAGAGAGACCACAGACCTGAATGAACGGGTGTAGCTGCACCCCATAAATTTTTATTTACAGGCCCAGGGATTTGAATTGCATATGATTTTCTTTTTTGACTTTCTAAAAAATATGTTTGCATTGACTTTCAGAGAGAGGAAGGGAGAGGGAGAGAGAGAAACACGGATTGGCTGCCTCCTGCCGACCCCCTACTGGGGATCAAGCCCACAACTGGGGCACGTGCCCTGACCAGGAATCGAAAAGCGGACTTCTTGGTGCATGGATCAATGCTCGACCACGGAGCCACACCAGCCGGGCTCTTTTGTTTTTTGCCACCATTTAAAACTGTGAAAACCATTCTTAGTTCACAGGCTGTGACAATCCAGGCAGCAGACAGGATTTGGTCTGCAGGTCAGTTTGCTGACCAGTCATAAGACACGACACTAACAAGACCAAACCTAAATTTCTCCTAAAACCAAGAATTTCAAAGAGGATTATGATAACAACACTCCCTGGGCCAGCAAAGTCAGACCCCTCCTACAGGAGGACCAAGGCCCGGGCAACTGCTCTGGGGACCCCCATTCCACCCAGGGCACCCCCTCTGCCTGAGCACCTGCCCCTTTGCTCTTGAACTAGTTTTGCCCCGATCCCTAGGCTGGGGCTGCCCCTATGCAAAGCAATTTGGAGCAAACAATAGCTTTCAGATCAATGTTCAAAGGGAAAAATGTGAAGCATTCCAGCTTTTGATACACACAATGATTTGTTTCCAAACATCTCATGAAACACACCAAAAACTTTTCTTCAAATCAAACAGTAAACTGTTCAGTAACAAACAGTAAGTACACTCATTAAAACTGGCTTTACTCAATATATTTTGAAATTAGTTCCACGTGTTGCTGCTAAACATTTCCAGTAGCTGCAAGAAGCTCATCTTTATTGATTGGTGATTAGAATTCAGCTTACACCCTGCTCTCTGTGACGCGCACCAAGTTCAAATCAAAGTAATGAATACACACGTCCCCAACCACTCCACTGGAGAACTAGTTTCCGGCCCGGCTCCTACGTCCTCACACCCTGAACCAAGTGCACTCCTCCCGGCGTGACGGCCAGCTCTCCACCTCGGCGCCGGGTGGGGACAGCACAGCCAGGCTGAGGGAGGAACAGAGGACGAACAGGCGGCGAGCAGCCACCGTGGTGGCCAGTGCAATCCACCACTCAGAACCCGGTGATGGAAACAAAACGAAAATACCCATCAAGCTGGGTATCTGGCTTATGGATTCCCCTGGAAGAACATGTGCCCAGCATGGGTGGCATCGTAGGAAGAGCAGAAAAGCCGACAAGTGCCACACACAGGCTCCTGTCTCCTGCAGCGTGAAGACAGACTGCTTCCAGGCACAAGCTGCTCCCCTGCAGCTCCTCCAGCTAACACGGCGCCAGCTTCCCGCAACCAGGACACTCACCACCCTGCGCCGAGCCTCTGCTCAGTGACAGGATGTTCTGGAGCCCAGACGCCATCCAGTTATCGGGACAGCCCAGGTGTCTGGGGAGCTGCGTGGACCTCACTGCCACCAAGCAGGTGTGGGCGGATATGTCCCCCTTTTGTCCTTGAAGGGAGCTGCTGGTAAGGAGAGGAGAGTAAAATCTACTCGGCTTTTCGAGGCTGGGAGAGCCATCACCGTGGCTAGGACGCCTCCCCAGACTTCACCTTCTTGGCCTGCCCGTTGGGCCCCGGGGACGGGTTCTTGTGTCGCTTCTTCCGCAGCTGCTGCTGCAGCCTCTCCTCCTTCTTCTTCAGGTAAGTGGTCACGTTGTCAAAGGTGGCCTTGTACAGACTGCTGAAGACATCGTCCACGCCAGCGGAGCCTGTGAGGGAGGAACGAGAACAGATGACAGGTGGGGCGGTGACTCGAGACGCCTCCCCTAGTGGCGGGGCTGGTGGGCCTGCGAGGCCCTCCTGCAACAGGGAATCCCCCAGGACCACCCGGAGTTCTCTGTGGGCTCCAGGCGCCTTCCCCAGGGGGACCCACGAGGCCCACCTCCTGGTAGCCACACTGGCTAGACCTCAGACTTGCCTCTAACAAAACACCAAATTATACTATTCCTGAGACCACCTCACCTGACAGGAAATTTCACAGGGCCCGTCAGTGAGGCGCAGGCCAGCGCCCCACACGTGACCGCCTTCTGCCCTGCACGAGTGCCCTCCCAGCTCCCTGGCTCTCCCACCTTCTGTGGTTTTCAATGTCAACTTGCCCTCCCCCGCTCTCTCCAACCCTCCCCCCGACCCGCACTAGAAACAGGTGGTTTTATCTGCAGACCTCTTAGGAAAATGAAGCACAGTTGGGGCCTGGCCCCAAGTGAGGCCATCTCAGCAGGCCCCAGAGGCAGGGACAGCAGGGAGGGGCCTGTTAGTGATGCTTCCACCCTGGGTGCCCCGACAGTCCTGCTGCAGGTCCCCTTTGTGGTGTGGCCCAAGCAAATCCGAACAGCACGGGGGAGGGTGCAGCCCTAGCACTGCCCCAACCCTTCAACCCCAAGAGGAAGGAAAAATGGAAGTTAGCCCTGGGATACGGAGCCACCAAATTTCCAAGAGAATGCTTTGCGTGGAAAACGCTTTGCGTGGAGAATGCCCTGCATGGAGAATGCCCTGCGTGGAGAATGCCCTGCGTGGATGATGCCCTGCGTGGATGATGCCCTGCGTGGATAATGCCCTGCGTGGAGAATGCCCTGCGTGGAGAATGCCCTGCGTGGAGAATGCCCTGAGTGGCCATGTGGATCGCTGTTCCCATAGAGACTGAATTCATGCTAAGCTCTCTCCAGAGCCCCAGGAACCCTGAGTGGCTTAGCAAGACATCTTCTGAGCCTCAGTTTCATTACTGGAATGAAGGCACCTGAATACCAGTGCTGGGTTGCAAATTCCCCTTTAGACACTGTCACTTCCAGTCTCTCCCCAAGAGGAACGTGATGGAAACAGCCCAGAGCTGTGTGACCAAAGGTCTGCCTCCCACTACTGCAGACAGAGTGGGGACTCACCATGTAACCCTCTCCAAAGAGTACCAGCACAGCCACACTCAGTGACCCCGTGGACTGTCCTCATGCCTGACCGGCCGAAAACCTACACGCACCTGTGGAGTCGCTCAATGCCACCAGCTGGGGACTTTGAGTGGCTCCCACTCCACCCGGGGCGCACACTAGGTACTGGCCCGGCCCTGGGGACTTCCAGCACCCAGCCCTGCAGACAGAAAGGCGGAATGCTGCTCGGACCCTGACCCAGGTCACATGCAGCTCAACTGTCCTGACAGAGTTGCAGCTGACAGAGTCGCACCTAGCACCTCTGCCCGGGTGTGTGTTACCTCCTCCATGCCCCGCAGGGACACACGCACACCCCGCACCCTTCCAGCCCCCGGCCGCGCCCTCACCTTCCAGCATGGCCCAGTTCCCTCGAAGGTGAGCACAGACCTTCTTCCCAGCGGCGTTTTCAGGAACAGGCTGGAAGGCAGAGGAAAACCGTCAGAAGTCGCTGCCGGCACAACACGGGCAGACCGCGGGGTCCAGGCTGTGAGGCCGGCCAGAGACCCTGTGACCCTCTACCCGAAGGCCAGGTGGAGCGGCCCACCAAACACAGCAGCCACACCTCATCAGGACAGACCCCATGACGTGAGGGCTGCTGGCATTTCACGTACTGGCTTCTCGGGTGCGACTTTCCCGACCAAGCCCGGCAGACCCGACAGGTGCCAGCGACGGCATTCCGTTCTCCGCCACTTTCCGATACAAATACCTGAAGGGTTCGGGGGATCCTCCAGAGCACTCAGCCAATGAGCGTCTGTGAAGGATGTGCAAGTCCGCCGAGAGCCTGGGAGTGCTTTATTTTATCCTTCCCCCACGGTCCTGTGGCACATGGGGCAGGAAAGGGATGGCCCCACTCTATGGACAGGGGGCCGACTCGGAAAAGGTGTGGGGTTCACTAAGCCCACAGCCCACAAGCCTTCTGCACCTGGGGGCTCCTCTAACCAGTGGGACCACTGCCCCAGGCACAAGGCCATGCTAAGCTGCAAACATTGAGGATACACACCAAGGCCTGGCTTCTCCGCTGAACACAGTGTGACCAGGCCAGGAGCAGAGATGGTGATCCTCCCCTAAGTCTACGCAGGCTCCATGACACCGGGCAAGCTGGCCAGTACCCCAGCTCCCTTCTCCCAGGTACAAGCCTATGACCCCACCCACCCAGGACACACCCCCTGGCATCAAGACAAGATCAAGCTGACAGGTATGATAGCTGTGGCCCCACCCCCGCCCCAGGCTCAGAGGCCAGCAGGGGCCGGCGTGACTCACCTGCCACTGGCCGTCCACAGGCCCGTAGAGCACGAGGGGGGCTTCCCGGCAGTCCTGCAGCACCCACAGCCCCTGGCTCTCCTCAAAAGCCACGTCCCACACTCTGTGCTGGAACGACAGCTGCTGTCTGTAGACCAGCTGCCGTCTGGGGGCGTCCAGATGGAAGACGTAGACCACAGGAACGCTTGCCACGAAAAGGAGAAGATCATTACACTGCGCAGCCCAGCAGTGACAGCAGTGACAGCAGTGACAGCAGCTCGGCTCCCGGCCAGGGCCCGCGCACAGACGACACAGCCTCGCCAACGTTTCCGCTGCAACCGCGCAAGCCCGAGCTAGAAGCACCAGCTGAGCGCCCCAGAGGCCTGAGCCACACTCGGCGAGGTAAGGAACGTCCGAGTCCCCGAGTCCTGGGGTCACTTGCTATGCAGCAAGGACAACCAGTAGAGAAGACAGCCGTTCCACCCACAGGGCAGCAGACCGGACACTTCCTGGCCAGCACTTTACCGTCTCTAAACCTGCGTCTCTATTTCTAAGACAAACTAAGATGCTGCACCCCCCAGACTTGTTACAAGAACAAGTGAGGCATTAGCAGCAGAGATGCTCAGGAGGAAGCAGCTGAATGGCATGTGCTACCTAAACCCATCTCGTCGACCACTGGCCTCAGGTGGGTCTACGTGACCAGCCCTCAGGTGGCACTGACTGAGGCAGAGTCTATCACGATCGACCCTTAGATGGGATTGATCACACACAGAAGACCAGGCAGAGGCCTGCTGCCCATTAAGCCAGTGGATCTAAATAGCATGTCAAAGAACACCCGAGTAAAGGAACCCAACCCACGTGCCACAGCAACTTCAGAAAGGGAGACACACACCCCGCTTCAGGTGACAGGCGATGGGCCAGGGGTACAGTCCGCGTGTCCCTCCCTTACGGGCGGGAGGGAGGCAGGGGCAGTGAGCTACCTGTCACAGAGCAGCGCCACACAGCTGTCCCGGCTCCAGTAACTGATCCTGGACGCAGCGAACCTCTGAAAGGAAAGCACAGCTTAACTGCTCCGCTCCCACGACAGCACAGCCCGCGAGGCTGGCAGTGCCCACACGTGGTCCCAGACGGAGAGAGAAGACAGTGCTAGAACCTTGAGGGAAAAGAGAGGTAGGGCCGACTGCCCGCTTCATGTAACCCAACATGCCGGCGCCGGGCAGCGCCTCTCCGTGATTCTGGCACTTCCTCCGGGCCGTGGAATGTCTCCAAAGACTTGGTCAAAGAGCAAGGATGGAGGGAAGAAAGAACGCAAGGGGAAAGAAAGGGATTGTTCCGTACAGACACATGGGCCCTGGTGCCCACACATCCAGCAGGGATGAAACGCTTAACGTGCCAACGAAGCGAAGGGTAAGGGCCTGGCACTCACCAGGCCAGAGCAGGGCAGGCGCCCCGAGAGGCAGGGCTGCCCCCCAGTCCCAGCAGGCCAGGTGCACCAGGACGGGGCAGCAACCTGCTTGTCCGTGGCCCCCTCTCTGCCGCCCACTCTCCTCGCCCTTAGAAAGAACTCATGTCAACTCGCTGCTGGAGCATCAGGTTGAGGGCACGTGGATAAGAAGTTACTGGAACAAATCAGGCCTCTGATAGAGCTTCCATGACTAGAGTCCAAGCAGGAGGCGCCCATGGGGCGGCCAGAGCCACTGACTTGCTGGCCCCTGCAGGGGCTTGACTTGGGGGTCCCAGGGGCCCTGGCCTGAGTCAGGCCCAGCCTGCCCTTGGAGGACCTGTGAGGACAGCTGCCACAGAGTGGTCTTAGAACAGACAAGAGAAACGAAAGGCCAAGCCGAGGAGGACCAGGCAGACAAGGCCTTCACGTCACACCCAGGTCTCGTCAGACACACAGGAGGGCCAAGTTCCTGAGGCTGGCAGGGTGCCACGTGGGGACTGCATGGGAAAGGGCATGGCACCCTGGGGACAGGCAGAGGGCACCGGCTCTGCAGGCCCGAGAAGACATGATAGTTGACCCCTCCCTCAACCCCCACCAGGCCCAGGTGGGCCATCCACATGTGGCCAGCACAGTCCCTGGCTGCACAGGACGAGCTCAGGAGCATCAGAGCTGGGCGCCCACAGGCACAGAATCCTGGGGACCACAAAAGGCAGCCTGCACCTTCCCCCCTGGAAATCTCCTTGCCCACCAAAGGCCCAGGTGACCTGACCTGGGGAGTCCTGAGATTAATCCATGATGGACAGCAGAGAATGCTGGGTGGACAACCAGGCTGCCGCCCGGCTGATAAACCCACAGCAAAGCTCTCTGCTCCGGCTCCACTATTTTTTCCATTTCCAAGTGGATTAGAGGCCTTTCCATAAATTAGTTGTCCGAATGCAAGCATGGTAAGAATATAAATTATTTCCCGCTCACTGGACGAGCTGCCTTCAGAAGTTGAAGTGCATGATTTCTCTGAAGCTGGAAGAATTCCAGCTGCACTGACGGCAAAGCAATGTTTCCCATGTAAAACATTCTTTTCACAAGACCTAGTGAGGCACCCTGCAGCCCCCACGAACGGGAGAGAAACTCCATTACCTTGTCGCTCCACGGCCCCGCCGGCTCCTGCAGGCTGGTCAGGTGACAGCAGTGCAGCTCTTGGCCACGTCTGTAGTCCCAGAGCCTCAGGGTGCAGTCCTGCACACAGGAGGGTGTCAGTGCACCTCGGAGGGACACGGCACCCTCCCCAGGCACCCAGGCTTCCACCAGGTCGTGGGGATGGTAACTCTGGAACAACCAGAGCACCCTTCCCAACCAACGGCTCTTTGCTCTAAAGAGCTCATGCAAGTCATTAAGAAAAACAGCCCTGGCCGGTTTGGCCTGCGGACCACAGAGTCCCAGGTTCAGTTCCCACTAAGGGCACGTACGTTGGTTGTGGTTTGTCCCCGGCCCCGGCTGGGGTCGTGAGGGTGGCAACCAGTCGATGCGTCTCTCTCATGTCACTGTTTCTCTCTCTCTTCCCCTCTCTCTCTCCCTCCTGCTCTATCTGAAGATAAATGAAAAAAAAAAAAAAAATGTCCTCAGGTGAGGATAAAAAAAAAAAAACAGGTGACCACATACAGCAAAATGGGCCAAGGACACACAACAACCTGATGTCATGTGCCAGGCTGTATTCAGGCCGAGTATGCACATACCCAAGCACATACACCCACATGCATGTGCACACATGGCAGATCAAGGATCAGGCATCTGCACGAGGAGGAACACATGGGCTACTGAGCGTGCCAGCCGTGGGAGCCGGGTCCCTCTGAGACTCAGGAAGGGCTCCTCTGTCAACTATTCGAACTGAGATCATGATACTACAAGTGTAACAACGGCCCTCAGAACAGATTCCCTGCTCAACACAATCACTCCAGCTCTACACACACAGACATGTACACACACCCACACCCAGTACACAGCCACAAGCAAGGAGCAAGACCCAGCAAGCCCTGAACTCAGAAAACAAGCACCATCTAGTGGACAGCCACCAGTGAGAAAGGAACAAACTGACGTCTGAACCACCAGTGGCAACAAAAGACAAGCTCCTCCAAGCATGACTCCTGCTTGGTCCCCCCAGAGAGGAGCCCAGAGGAGCACGCGGCAGAGCGGCACGCTTACCCCGGACGAGGACAGAAGCAGCTCAGGGTGGTCGGGCACCACGAAGATGCGGCTCACGAACCTGCAGCAGAGAGAGAAGGGGTCCCAGTCTGCTGTGACCTCCGCACAGCTCCCGTTGCCTCAGAGAGAAGGGCAGGGCCTCCCCCCACACCCGACCTCCTACAAAAACCGAGGCGAGTAACACATGTAACTGGTGGTGGCTGTGCAGATGGCGATGAGGAAGCCAGGGGAGCACACCAGCTGTGTCCTTCTGGGCCCCATACAACAGCCTCCAAGGGCGGCCCCCAGACCACAGGCGGCGGGGCCATGCCTGATGGGAAGACCCACGCGTGCGCTGCCACCCACAGCACTTCAGCCGACTCCCCAGACTCAGGGAAGGACCCTGCTGTCAGGACTCCCGGGGTGAGACATGGAAGACACTGCCCAGATGCCACCACCTCTCCCCAGACACCCAACTCAGTAGGAGAGTCGGAAATCAGCCTCCAGTCCTTGTGAGGGAGACAACAGGATCACTAATTCCTGGGCCCCAGGTGACACAGCACGGGCCATGTGCCTCCTCGCCCGCCCAGGCCCAGGCCCAGTCCTGGCCACGACCACCTCACCAGGCCACCTTCCAGTCTCAGAAGCTCAACTTAAAAAGGTAAAGCAGCGCAGCCGGTGTGGCTCAGTGGGTGGAGCGCAGTCCCATGAGGTCACCATGAGGTCGCCAGTTCCCGGCCAGGGAGCACGCCCTGCTTGTAGCTCGATCCCCAGTAGGGGGTGCAGGAGGCGGCCGATGGATGTTTCTCTCTCATGAAGTTTCTAGCTCTCTCTCCCTCTCCCTTCCTCTCTGAAATCAATTTTTTTAAAGAACATGAAAACCGGGAATGTACACACTGCAGGATCAACACAGCCTGTGTCTACTGAGCACCTGCTATGTGCCAGGCACCGTGCTGAGGGCCAGAGCCCCGAACAGGGGACCGGAGAGAGAGGCCACAGAGACAGGCGTGTCAGCAGAGAGTGCCAGCCAGCAGAAACACACTGGGGTCATCTTCAGGTTGCCACCAGTGACCGTGTCAACAAACTAAACGGACGGGTGGAATTAACTGTCATACTGTTTTTACTCCACTCGCTATACCCACAACTTCATCATTTCAGTCCATAGTCAGTGCGACACATGAACAGTGAGCCACGTATACCCCCTTTTTCACACTAAGCCCTTGGAGTCGGGAGTTCTGCCCTAAGGGCTCGTCTCAATTCAGAGGACCAGCCGCGGCTCCCGGCTCCCGGCTCCCGGCTCCCGGCTCCCGGCTCCCAGACTGGATGGCGCAGGCTAAGCGGCACCGGGGGGGGGGGGGGGGCGCGCTTCTCTGCAGTGAGGAAGTGGAGAACTAGGTGCAGAGCTGTGAGGACGAGTGTGTGCCTGTCTATGTGTGCACACGCAAAGGCACCGAGGCAGCGGTGTGCCAGGTGGGGTCCGGACCAGCGAAGACCCCAGACAGACAGAGCAATAGGCGGGGCGGGAGAGCTGGCAGGCTGTTAGAGCTCCAGGCGCTGAATTACTAGGGATGGAACAAAAGCCAAACAAGCTGTCATAACCTTGCTAAAGGTCAATTGTACATTCCATTCAAAATCAAGGGAGCAGGAGCAACCTCGGAATGGAATGGCATCCCTCCGATGTCTTCCACTGCCTCAAATAACATTTTAAGTATTTCAGTCGGTCAAACGAAGTGTTCTCCTCTGTGCACGTTATAATCAGCCTTGGGCCGGAGAGGAGAGTATTCCTCAGAAGCGCCTCCCTTACAGACCTCAGAATTCGATCGCAGAAAGAGCTCACTCGCCAAAGTCAGAGGTCACAACGTTGACAACTGCGTGGGTTCAGAGGCTTTCTAATTCTTGAACAAGTAAAGTTACTAGAGGATGCTGCTTGTCCCCAGCACACCGACCCAGGGACCACTGACCACTGCTGGTGTCTACACTGAGAAAGTGGGTGTTCCAGAACAAGCCCCGGCTACCCAGGTCGGGGGGACAGACAAGCAGCAGCAGCTCAGAGTAGAGGCCCCTCTCGAGGCTGTGCGCACACGGCTCCGCGGGCCGCCAGCAGCACCATGCACGGTGACCACGTCCTGGGGTCCGAGACCAGCGCCAATGAGGAAACCTCTCCCTGGCACCCGTGAAGGAAGGAGGTCCTGAAGGCTGAGCTGCGGCAGGGCCCGGCCAGCTGTGAGCACTCGCCTCGCCTAAAAGCTGCACACAGGAGGCCCTCCTCCCTCGAGGCCTGCGGGCTCATGCTAGCGCCTCCACCTGGCCACCAGCCTCCCAAATGAAGGGCCCACTCTGTTTTAAACCTGAGCTTCCTCCCTGAGGCCGGAGGGCAGGGAGGGAGACTCACTCGGTGTGCCCCAGGCAGAAGGACTCGATGTTGTGCGGTGCCAAGGCCCAGCTCACCCGGATCTTCTCGTCCCGGTCAGCGGTGAGGACATAGCGGTCATCAGGACTCACGGCCTGTGCGAGGGGTGAGAAAGGACAGCTCCACTCATGGGACAGCAGAGCCGCTGCCCTCCTCTCGACCCCACTCAGACCCTTGTCTCCAGCCCCCACCCCTTTTCCACAAAGACACCATCTCAACACAATTCCCGTCATTCATGCTTCCTCTACTCTAGCACCCATGTCACCTTCCTCTCTTCCTATCTCACATGTCCCCATGTCCAGCCAGTCCCCAGGTCCTGAATTCCCCCGTTATGCCTGTGTGACCCCGTGGGAACCCCCAGTTCCACCACCCATGGCCACAGCCTGGCCCACACTGGGCCTCTTGGTGCCTCCGGCAGGACAGATCCTGGCTCAGGAGTTGGGAGGACACCAAGGAAATACCCATGAAGCACGAAGGATGAACTCTGACCTCGTGCTCTTCCCACACCCCTCCACCGAATCACCCTGATCTGAGCTGACCCTCATGTCCAGAGCCACCCAGCTGGCTGCCTCACCCTGCTGGCTACCAAGCCTCCTCTCACATATCTGCGGAGGACTGACCCTGCCACAGGAGAACCCACACCCACCCAGACGCTCAGGGCAGCCCCCGCCCCGACCCACCTATGCCCGACCACAGAGGAGTCACGAGCACTTCGACCACATACCACATCCAGTAGCATCGATAGATGCCCAAGCTCAAGTTTGCCGCATCCGTGTGGCTCCAGCACTGAAAAGGAGTAAACGTCCCCAGATTTGTCTGCCACCAAAACCTTCTCCTCCGAAGCTGTGAATGTCAGGGCCGTGCACCTCCTCACCACGGTCCTAGGAGGCCAGAGAGATGCCCAAGGTTGGCTGACACAGGCTGGCACAGGACGGCACAAGACCCTGCAACAGACCTGCAAGCAGCGCACTCTAGTGGCAATGCCAGCTCCGTGCACGGGACTCCAGAGGTTAGCTCCAAATGGGAACCGAACCTAAAGGAATTATGCCCCAACACACCATCCCAACAGGACCCAGTGCCTCTCAGGAGCAGAGAGACAAAAGGACAGAAAAGGCCAAGAGGAGCCTCCCAGGCACTCTGGCCTGAAGAAGGGCAAGAGGAGGCACAATGCACAAACACGGCGGAAACCATCGCGGAGAGACCATCAGGCTCTGGGCAAGACTCCAAAATTCTCCCAGCCCTGTGATTTCAACAATGGTCTGTGCTCATTCTACTGGGACAATTAAACAGCTGTGACATCTCAGCACAGAGCTCTGGAAGGGCAGCTAGGACAGTCCCTCAGGACTGCTAGGCTTGGATCCCCAGGAGCTCATGCACCCGAGAGAATCCAGCCCTGCCCTGACCCCCACCCAGGAAGCACCCCTCCCACCAGCACCGATTCCAGGATGCAGCAAGCTTTACGGAACGTATCTGGCGGTGTGGGTCTGGGGAAGTCAGGTAGCAGCGGGAGGGGAAGGGCAGGTCATAGGACAGGACCGTTGGCTGGCCTCTGCGTTGTGCCAGGGGAAGGCACCTGGGGAGGGCAGAGGCCACAGCAACCTCCAGCCTGTACCGAGTCTCAGCATCTCCCCTCCCTTCCCAGTGCTGCTGCACTGAGTGAGCCGGATATTCCTGGTCAAGCAGCTGAGCCCTGGACCACCCCCCCACACACACAGAGCTGGTGCCCCCACACCCACCTCTAGAGAGCCACCTGTGTTCAAAAGACTGAGCATGAGGGGCCTCGCTGCCGCCAGGCCTTGAAGACACACAGCGGTCCCACACTGCGCGGCCAGCAGCCAGGCTCTCCCCACCGTTAGAGCCCTGCAGGTAGAACAGACCCAGATCTGAACTCCAGGGGCTCCGCCTCTGCCGCACACTGCCACCATTTTAACACAGGTGTTTTATAAGACGGTGTGATTCCGTGTGTAAGATCTCTTAATGGATACACACATCAAAACAGAAAGAATCTTATCAACCCTGTGTCCTCACTTTTTATTCATAAAACATCAACTTTCTGGCCTCGATTCTGGGCCTGAAAACCCTCTGACCTGCCCAGTTCGCAGGCTCTCTGCCCTTTGTCACTCTCAACTGTTACCTTGAAAAGAATCATTGCTACCCACAATCCCCTTCTCGGCTTTTCCTCAAAACCCTCCGGGATGAAGTTTTAAAGCAACCACAGTAACGAAGTGCCCGCCTGAAAGCTGTAAATTACACAGCAGGACACACTGTGCCCAGGGAGCCAGAGAACCTGCCTCCACCCCCACCGCCAGCCCTCAGACACAGCCCGAGCCGCAGCTGTCACGGCCAGACCCACAGCTGTCACGGCCCCAGGCCTCTGAAGTTTGCTGGCAACGCGAGTGCCCAGGAAAGGGCTAACCCAGCCTCCATGGCCCAGAGCGGCTCTCGCTCTACCCGCTGTGCTACCGAGAAGCCAAGCCGAGTGCAAACAACTGGGGTAGATGGACTCCTCGTCCACAGAGGAGAAGACCTAGTTCCCTAGCACGTCATCCAATGAGAAAGGGAACGCCCCGGGGGAAAGCAAAGCTCCCGGCTGAGGAGCCAGTACACAAGACGCTGGCTCCTAAGTACACAACATGTGCTCTCCCTCGCTCACAATTAAGTATACATGACACCAATTTCCTTCTATCAGACTGTCTCAAGTCACCAGGTTTGACACCACCTGTGCTGTCCAGGGTGGAAGCAGGCACCTCATACCCTGGGAGGCGGAGAGATACAGCCCCTTCGTAAGGCAATCTGGGATTCTCTACCTAGACTACAAATGTACCTATCTTTTGATCTGGCAACTCGTTTTTGGAACTGCTCCTACAGATAAATGAGATTTATTATGCTAGGAGACTCAAAGAGACACAGGCACACGGGCACAGAGAGACGGCCATATGAAAAGGCAACAAGAGGACAGCCATCTGCAAGCCAAGGAGAAAGCCCTCTGGGCAAACCAGCCCTGCTGACGAGCTGGTCTTGGAATCCCAGCTCCAGACTGCATGAAAGCAGCATCTGGCTCTTCACGCTGCGGGATGCGTCACGGAGGCCCGAGCAGACTGAGACAGCTACCATCCGCTGTCATTGCTGTCATGCCTTGCTGCTCACTGGCTGGCTGCCAGGGCTCACATCCCTCCTTCCTTCCCACGGGTTGTGGGAGCGACTCAAAATCAAGGCCAAGTGCAAGGGTCCCTGGGAGAGAAGCTCAGAGTCAGGCCTGCAAGGCCCCTTGTAGTACTTACCCCAAATCCTGAAAACACTTAGCATCTTCCATATTCTAGACACTAGCTAATGCTCAGGCTACTTTGGCAAGATGCTGCCTGACAGGCCTTTCGAGTTAAGGATGATGTGAGTTCATGGCAGTCAGCTAGAAAAAGCGATTAGCGCCCTGGCCGGTTTGGCTCAGCGGTTAGAGCGTCGGCCTGCGGTCTGGAGAGACCCGGGTTCGGTTCCCGCTAAGGACACGTACTTCGGTTGCAGTTTGTCCCCGGCCCTGGTTGGTCGTGCGGGTGGCAGCCACTCGATGTGTCCCTTCACATCGATGTTTCTCTCACTCTCTCTCTCTTCCTCTCTCCCTCCCACTCTATCTGTACAAAAAATGGAAAAATATCCTTGGGTGAGGATTTAAAAAAAAAAAGAAAAAGCGATTAGCAATCATAACACATACACATGGCAACACACTTTTAACTTACTCTGCTACTGGGCGATTCTAACTGCCTGTGGGGAGAGAACTGGATAGTGGAGGTGGAGGGAGATGTACGCTTCACTGTGTATCCTACATCTCTCTGTTTAACTTCTTTGTCTTGTAAAGCTTTTAATCAGTCATCTATTGCCTAACATGAAAACATACACATGATAAAAATGATGTAATGTGCCCTGGCCAGTGTGGCTCAGTGGAGACAGTGTCAGCACATGGACTGAAGGGTTTCAGATTTGATTCTCAGTCAAGGGCATGTACCAGGGTCTCTCTCACATCGATGTTTCTCTCTCTCTCCTCCCCGTCCCTTCTACTCTCTCTAAAAATTAATGAAAAAAATATCCTCAGGTGAGGATTAACCAAAAAAAAAAGTAATGTTACAAACTTTATTTTTAACCTGAATGGAATACAGGGCAGAATGGGTATTCCTTGCTTGTGACGTCACCTGGAATTTGGCCTTTTCTTCTTCTCTTAGAAAATAAGATCAAATAAAAGCGTAGCTATCTCCAACACAAAGGGAAACTCCTTAACCTCAGTCACTTAGTAGTGGAAACATTATAACCTGCATATGTTTTCCGATTATCAAGGGCAGTTAAACCATGCAGCCTCAGGGAAGAGCGAATGAGGGGACAGGGGCTAACTCTGCTCCGTGCAGACATCGCCATCAGTGTCACAGCACCACAGAAATCCCAGCCTTCACCCTCTTATGGAAACAGAGACCTTGCACACAGGAAACTGTCAGAGCCCAGAGAAACTGCCACCTGCCCAGCGCCAGCATCCCCACCTCCTCTCCCACAACCTGCGGTGATGAGCCAAGGACAGCTCTCGGAAATGAGGTTTCACAAACTGCTGCGCTCCCTCCTTTTCGGAGGCGAGAGAGAGATCCAGAAGAGGAGCAAATAAGGCCAAGGAACATTCACAGGACTTGTGGGTAAGAGGAACAGCCTCGGCCATGTGATATCTATGCTCTTGCTGAGTTACTGTCCTCCCTGCCCCCGCCCCTTCCCCAAGCACTGACTCCTGCCTGTTCTCAAATACTTAGAAATCAGTGCTCTTACCAAAAAGCTGGCCAAGTTAAAGCTGTGGCACAGATGCCTTACGTGACACAAAACCCTGACACTCTCCAGGGGCATGCTGACCTTTAATTCTGCCACCACAAGGCTGGAGAAACACTGCTTGGAAAGCAGGACGGCGCAGTGCTAGGCCACCGACTCTGGAGCCAGAGTGACCAGGTTCAGGGCCTGGCGCTGCCCTTCCAAACTGACTGGGATCAGCTTCGACTCCTGGCCAGCAGATCTGAGTGACAACAATGCCCCCACCCCATCACAGGCCCTGGGCACACAGCTGGTGCCACATGCTAGTAGCGTATTACGCTCGTTACTGGCACTATTGTTATTGGCATGCAAGCGTAAGCCGTGCGTTCAATACTGTAAATATTCAACGTTAGCATTTCATACCTGACACTCAGACATTGCCATGGTTTTGTACGGAAAAGAATCAGACGCTTACTGTCATCGGTTAAAGCAAAATAGCTGCCAGACTTGGAGAAGGTGGACGCCAGGATCGTGTCACTCGCCTTCTCCACCGGCTGTCCGTCCTCCCTGAGAAAGAGAGCAGAACAACGGTGAGGCTGCCCGAGAAACAGGCGGTGTCCCTCGAGGCCAGCTGCACTCACTCAGAATGTGAGCAGAGGCAGAAAATGCCATGAGGTTCGTGCAGCCACCGCATGAGACTTAGTTAAGGGAACATGGGGAAGTTCAAACAGTTCTGATGATTAAGGAGTAAAATCTAACCCAACAGAAAAATCTCCCAGCATACCAAAATCCAAACAGCTGAGCTGGAAGGACCTGCATGGCCCACTCCATGGACGTGGACTAGTCAAGACTAGAGGCAGGGATTAAACCCGTATTTTTTTAAAAAGCTGAGCCACAAGACCAATTCTACTAGAGAAAGTCACCATATAAAATCATCACGCTCACCCGGCCGGTATGGCTCAGTAGTTGAGCGTCGACCCATGCACCAAGAGGTCGCCAGTTCGATTCCCGGTCAGGGCACATGCCCAGGTTGTGGACGAAATCCCCAGTGGGGGGCATTTGGGGGACAGCCAATCAATATTCTCTCTCATGGATGTTTCTATCTCTCTCTCCCTCTCCCTTCCTCTCTCTCTCTAAAATCAATAAAGAAATAAAATCATCACGCTCTGCTTTTCTTACCTTTCAATTAATTTCATACAACTTCCCCCAGTGTACTTAAAATCATTACTGACAGAAACTAATTAAAAGTACTTAGAAAAGTCCTAATATTCTTAAAGGCTAATTTGCAAATGAGTTCCATAGTTCTTTCCTGAGGTGGCACCTGGTTTATCCACACAGCAAAGAGAAATGGAGACAATAATCTCCTTGGGCTATCAGATCCCATTAATCAAACCCTGAATCGAGCCCTGAGGAGACTTCCCATCATCTCACCCTTTATTTTCCTGTGACTTCTTTTCTGCAGCACTGCAATCATATGTGAAGAGGCTGTCATCATCACTAAAAAAAAAAAAAACAGAAAGACTTAAAAAGGAACACTTTGTTAATAAAAATGCTCATTTCTTTTATTTCCCTGGAACAGAAAAATATTTGCATCCTCATTCAATTAAGGGCCTCGGCCATGACAGGAAACCTAGGCATGCTACTTCGTGTGACAGTTATGGAGCTTATTCGCCTAATCTCTGTCTAGGTCTGCCACACACAACTGGCATGGCTCTGTACAAAAGTCAGTTTAGTAAAATAAGTGAGAACAAAAACTCAAACAGGAATATACCATTCTTTCAGGTGCTAGGACACTAATGCAAAATAGTTATGTTAGAAGAAATTGTGTTCTGATATTGTTTTCGGTGGGCTTTTTGTACCCAAATTTAAAACTGCCATTCTTGTTTAGAAAAATGTCTCGTCTACCCAAAAGAGCTCCCATGACTGCCAAGCACTGACCAATATAGGAGCCACCCAAGTTCCCCATTAGACCCTGAGTTCTCCAGTTTACTACACCTCCGCTCCAGTGCCTGGCTCGGAGAAAGCATCTTGTACAAATGTATAGCCTTTCAAGTGAATGCACTTTGAACTCTTTTCTCATGGAGCACTGTAGCATAGAAAAGGAAGTAGTCCTTCAAGTCGGAAACTTGAAGTGGGCCACTAAGGAAGCAAGCAGATGGATGTCTCCCTGTGGCATGTGTTAGATACTGTGAGCCTCTAGAACAAAGTAATCTGGGATACATGACAGGATTGTGAGTAAATTTTTGGTGAAGTCTAAATTGAACATCGAGTTGGATTTCAGAAACCAAATAGTGAACAGTGAGCACTGATACTGACACCTGGTCTGTTTCAAATATGAGAATCAACAAAACAAACAAAACAAAACAAAGCAAGGGGCGGAAACTGACCACTACGGACATCCATGAGGCTCCTGAGTCAAGACTACTGGAGCAACAAACATCCTCCGATATAAAAGTGCTGGGCGTTGCGTACACAGTGGGGAACGATAAGGAAGGAGCTTACAAAGCAGAGAAAGCAAAAGCCGAACTGTGGGAAGGGCCACCAGGGGGGTGAGCGCTGCGGACTGAGGGCACCCTCCAGTAAGGAGTTGCCCCTGAGACCTCGAATCCTGAAAGCAATTAAGGCGGGGTCGAAGGATGCAGAGGAGTTACGAGGACGCAGGCACCACCCCAAGAAGAGAGGAGGGGGAGGGAGTGTGCCCGGAGCTCAGTCGGTCCGAGCTCGTTCGGGAGAGTAAATCCTCCTACCAGACAGGCCGGGGGCCGCCTTCCTCCCCACGTTCGGTCTGGCGGGCGTCCCCGGGGCCCCGCTTTGGCCCCCCTGTCCCACAACGCCCCACTAACTAGGCCCGCCAGCCTCCCAGAACCCGGCGCGGCGGGGCGAGCCCTGGACAGGTGGCCAGCGGGGCGCCAGGGCGGTCCTAGGGCGAAGGGCGGGACGGGCTGACGCTGCACCCGCGGCCGGCCAGGCGGCAGCGGAGCGCCCGGAGCCGGCGGCGGGACTTCCGCGGGGCACCCAGCCGGGCTCCCTGCTCCACGCCCAGACCCCTCACCTGCTCGCAGTGGTGGTGGCCAGGAAGCGGCTGCCTCCCCGCACCACCAGCGCCTGCCCGCACAGCGCCAGGCCCGCCGAGCTCGCCATGAGCCCGCCGTGGCGCCTGCACCCACGTGTGCCACCCAGGGCCTCTTCCCCCGGCGCCGGGGAGTGACGTCACGCGCAGACGCCGGGCGGTGACGTCACCCTGGCCGCAGACTCGAGACCGAATCCTATCCGGCACTAGGGAACCTCACGTGGCCTGGCCCCGCGCGCTGCGGCCTCACTCCCCCCGCCGGCTCACGGTACCCCGCAGGACTGCCCCTCCCGTCCATTGACACCATGCTCTTCTGCCTGGAACTCCCCACCACCCATCTCTTCAGCGTCCCGAAATAATTCCAATCACCCAGCTTACACCCCAGTGGAGTCATCAATCAGGGAAGGCTTCCCTGACATAACATTATTTGCATTCACAGCACCATGATTATTTGTTTGTTTGTTTGTGTTTTAATCCTCACCAGAGGACATTTTTGCATTTATCATCAGATGGAGCAGGAGAGAAGAGGGGAAGAGAGAGAGGGAAATATCGGTGTGAGAGAGACACAGGGAGTGGCTGCCACCTGTCCCAGACATAGCCTGGGGACTGGCGCCAGGCAAAGTGCTCGACCATGCTCAGCCTTGCCTCCCACCCTGAACGGCCTGCCTCGAGCTTGGAGATTAACTCCCATCTTGCTCTTATTGACTCACATTCCAGAGGCTCCATGCATACCCCCGGCAGGGCCAAACCCTAAGGAACAAATTCCAGCTGCAACAGGCAGATATAAAAGACACAAGCCCCTACATTGAACGCGGCTTCTAGGACTCGACCCCCGGAGTCTGTGAACCCACCCGGAGTGTACCCAATAAACCTGAACCTGTTTTTATCTAATTTGTTGGCCTCTCTGGTTTGTTTTCCCTTCATGGGGGCTGCTAAATTCCTTTCACCACCCACACGACCCCAGCCGGGGGCAGGGACAAACCGCACGAGGTACGTACCCTTAGTGGCAACTGAACCCAGGACTCTCTGGTCCACAGGCCGATGCTCTAACCACTGAGCAACTGGCCAGGGCTGATTATTGGTTTAATATCTGTCCCCAGACTACAAATATCCTGAGGACAGGGATGGATGCCTAATTTTGCGAGTCACTGTTGCCCCAACTTGCAGCACAATACCTGGCATGAAGTTAGTGCTCAATTAATACTTACTAAGTGAATAAATGGAACTACTAATAGACTATAATTAAAGGAGCAGCCATTTTTACCGAAGAGGAAGAGATAATGATAGACAGGAGACTTAGAAAACTAGAAGAATACTGACCCAAACCCGACCTCCTGTTGGAATCAAGGATGAATTTACACCCAAACTTACAGGTAGCTGCGGCTGCCAGAGCAGAATGCTTGAGGGAAAACTGGGCTTCCCTAAGGGCAATGAGGTAAAAGGAACTTTCGTGGAGACAGGAGATGAACGTTTGTGTATCACAGAATGAAGGACATGCAGGGTAAGGGGAGGGGAGTGGAAGAAAGGACATCGATCATTGCAGGGGAGAGATCACCAGTGGAGGGGTTGACACTGGACAGTAACCACAGGGGAAGCAGGAAACTTGAGTGTTTCTGAAAATGAATCTGCTATAAACATCACATCTGTTCAACTAACCTAGCTGGTACAGTGAAAGTCCATACTCATGGTCTGGGATATTTTTCAGGCTTGCAGGGCAATCTACACAGTTTCTCTTCTGGATGGGATAACAATTCCAAGACCACAGAAATCCTACAGGGTCCGCCATCACCAGGCTCATCAGCAGGTGAAACTTCCTTTACAATCATGCTTTAGATCTTATAAAATGTTCTACTACTATACACATTCTAACAGATACAATTAACTACATATGCATATTTAAACTGACCTTGAAGCTTACTACCTTCATGCTATAGGTTGCAACCTTGATAAATAAGTACAATCTTTTTTTAAAGTTTACTTGGAGACTGAATCATAAAATTGAAGAGGAATCGTGCAATATAAGACATGGAGCAATGCATAAATGAAAACTTAAAGAACTGTATTTGGCCATCAGCTATAAGCACAACTTAATCGTTTTGATCTTTTTGAGATAAGTCACTTGCCTAACACTTTGCATTCTTTTTTTTTTTTTCTTTATTGGTTTTAGAGAGAATGGATGGTAGAGGGAGAGAGAGAGAGAAACATCGATGAGTGAGAACATCGAATGGCCGTCTCCTGCATGCCCCCCACTGGGGATTTGGCCCACAACCTGGAATGTGCCCTGACCAGGAATCAAACCAGCCACCTCTTGGTGCCTGGATCGACATTCAACCACTGAGCCACACTGGCTGGGCAACACTTTGAATTCTTATAGTACTTGTGCCAACAAGATGTATTTGCCTCAAGGTCTTATCAAATTCCATGATAATCCATACCTTTCTTTTTAATTTTAATCAAGTCTGAATTGAAATGTTTTTAAGCTTATTTTTATTTTCACAATCCTCCCTTTCATATCTCTTCCGGTACTGCTTATTTTATTTTGTTGAGATCCCCAAAAGTCTCTCTCAACACCAGCATCAGGCTCAAAGTGCGGGGTCAACACCAGCATCAGGCTCAAAGTGCGGGGTCTCATGATCTGTACTAGGGTGTCGGGTCTCATGATCTGTACTAGGGTGAGTGTGGCTCCGCAGGTGCAGCTCCTCCTGATCCGGAGACCTGCCCACTAAACTGCTGACTTGTCTTCCCCACACGACCAACCTGCTCTGACGAGCTGGGGAACAACAACCACAGTGAACGTTTCCGTTTGGAAAGGGGAAGCATGCGATACACAGAGCGTTCTCTGTCTACAGCAATTCTGAAACCCCAGGGAAATGTGTGCAGGGCGCACAGGAGTGGGAAGTGTTCCTTGATAAGGTGAGTTCTGCTTGCTGCGGCGTTTTCCCAGGTGACATCCCAACCTGACACTTGCCTTCTGCCCCCTGGGATCACCCTCCTTTTCCAGCACCTTCTCGGCCACTTTGAAAAATATGCCCTTTGAGCAACTGTCTTAAACCTCTTGCTGCCCTTAGCAAGTCAGGGGCCAGAGGCTTTTTCACTTTAAACTGTCCAGTCCCCTTGAGCCAGCAGGTGCTACTTTGTTCGATACAACTCCCAAGACACTTTGTGGAGATGTCGGCATTGTTACTGAATAAGATATATCCCTCGTCATGTACCCTCAACAACAATGCAGCATCCATCCACAAGCAAAAGTGCCTTTGTGGGAGCCCTGGGTCCAGGAACCCAGGAGCATCACCCCCGAGGTATCAGATAATAGGCATACAGACATCAGTCCCAGCTGTAGAGGCTTCAGTGGCCCATGAATTGCCTCCAGCCCCCTGGCCACAGCCTGGGAGCCCCCGGCAAACACCGTCTTAGACAATCACCCAGGAAGAGAGCCTCTGTAGGAGGTCCAGGTTCTCAGCAGATAAGTTCCAGCACATCATCAGTAACAAAAAAATATGAGAGGAACAGTCTGACTTTATGCACCACCATTCCCCTAAGGCAGCCCAGCTTAGGGCCAAGAGAGACCGTTTCACCCATGATTTCCCAAAGGAGAAAGTGAGAGCACCCAGCTGTGCCAGCTGTACCAGATGCTGCCAAGGAGGTCTATTTCTCTCTTGCCTCGACCGGAATACCAAAGGGTGAGGCTGGGAGAGCAGAAAATAGAATTCTCAGAGGAACTTAAAGGGACACCAACACTGTTAAATACATGACAGACTCTATCCAGAAGCCCGCCCATGAGCTGCTAGAGGCACCTGCAGATCCCCCAACTGGCCCACGGGCTCCCCAGCACACCACACACCTCATCCACACACACTTCTACCTTGAGCAGCTAGCTCCCTGGGCATTCCGAGTGGTGGTAAGAGCGTGTTTGGGCAAAGGAATGGTGAGCACACACAGAGAATGGGCCCACAGCTGTGTGCCAAGGAGAGACAACAAACTTGAGTTGTAGTGCCACCTTTGGAAACAAAAGGGAGTGTCAGCACCTTTTGCATCGCAGGTTCTGGAGAAGGCATCCAAGCTTAGCAATTCTGCCACAAGAGGGAGCAAGAAACGTGGAGCAGATGTACCCACAGAAGGTCTGAAAGACAGAATCCCTAGCAGGGCTCACTCTCCCAGAGGTAGTTAGCAAAGACTGAGGAGGTGACTGCTACTTCAGATGAGAAGACAGCAACGCAAGACTTCAAAGGACATAAAAAATCCAGGAAACATGACATCACCAAAGGATCACAATAATCTACTAACTTATCTTAAAGACAATAGAGATCTACAATTTACCCAACAAAGAATTCAATATAGCCCCATTATGACCCCAAAGCAAAAACCTACAGTAGATTCACAAAAGAGAGAAAAAGGAAGGCAATCAGTATTGCTATGGAAAATCATCAATGCACAGAGGAAGGCAGCAAGAGATAAAAAAAAAAAAAAAAAAAGGAACAAGGCAACTACAAAAGAGCCAGAAAGTCCTGGCCGGTTTGGCCCAGCGGTTAGAGCACTGGCCCGCAGACCAGAGACACCCGGGTTTGGTTCCTGCTAAGGGCTCATACCACGGTTGTAGTTTGTCCCCGGCCCCCGTTGGGATTGTGTGGGTAGCAGCCAGTTGATGTGTCTCTCTCACGTCGATGTTTTCTCTCCCTCCCACTCTATCTGAAGATAAATGCAAAAATGTCCTTGGGTGAGGATAAAAAAATAAATAAATAAATAAAAATCTCTTCCCTTAAAAAAAAAAAAAAAAGCCAGAAAGCAAAAAGATGGCATTAGGAGAAACAGAGTAGAGTGGTGGTTGTCAGGGGTGGGACATAGGGGGTGGAAATGGGTGAAATGGTCAGAGTACAAAAGTCTATTTGTAAGATGAATGTGTTCTGGTGTAATGTATAACATGGTGACCATAGCTAACCATGCTAGACTGTGTACTTGGTAATGACACTTGGCCATTAGAGTTGGAAAGTCTCCGGCAATAGTCAGTCCACTCGGTGAGGTGGGAGACACATGAAGGCAGATCCCACCATCTGGTGTTCCATCCAGAATGACTTACACCTGGGTTGTA